TTAGTTTTCGTTTTATGTTTTCCCTTTTGTTATTTTCGTTATATTATTATCATCTTTTTTTGTATGTTTCCATATATACGAACCATTAAACTTTATCTTTATTATACCTCACAGCAACAAATTCTAGTATAACAACAAGTACACTTCTTTTTTGGGTCGTTTTCATATTTTTCGCCTTTTTTTATTAAATTTTGTTGTTTGCATTCTTACGTTTTTACGTTATTATGTTTTATACATTTTTTATGTTTTTGTTGCCAAATTTGTAGCAATTTTGTATAGAATATTTTAGAAATCTTGTATTTTGTATGTTTTGCTTTGGTCTCTTTAAATAAAATAGGAGAAATGAAGGGAAAAAAAGGAATGAAGATAAACCCTTTTTTCGCCCCTATGCTATTGTCTTTTTTTTCAGCCTCCCCTCCCTATATTCCTTTTGTTCTACTTAAAAAAAATTAAAATAATTTTGTGATTTTGTAAATTTTTGTTTTTTGCCCAGAATTTATTTTAAAAAAATCCAAATAATGTTATTCAAATATTCTTTCAATTTTTTTTCAGCTATTTTCATTTTTTCTACATTTTACCTCATGAATTTTTATCTACGATGTACTGAAGGTGTAATGCGAGGGTACACTCAGAAAAAACAAATCACAAAGTCATGGAAATCTTGCACTTATTTATGTCAAGACTTTTAAATTCTTCTTATTAATGGTGGTGTTTGTTTTCTTCTACTTGATTTGAAGCACTTAATTAAAAAAACGAAGCACAAAAAAAAAGAAAAATTTTTATTATAAGAAAAAAATTTTAGAACGAAAAAAGCAAATCCGTAGATGATTTAAATTAAAAATACGTAAAAATAATGGAGGATCGTGAGACGTAACAAGAAAAGCAAAAGAAGGTGGAAATAAAGAATGTTATTACTGTTATTAGTCAAAAATGCTCTTTAATTTCACTCATTTTTTCTCTCGTACTTTTCACTCGTACATATATAATTAAGAATATTTAATTAGCAACCGCACACAGACTGTGTTCTATTAAAATATAACAGTTATAATTTTTGTTTCATTTCTTTTCTTCTTTGGTTTTTATCTTTCTCCTAATAAATTTAAGTAACTTTTTTTTTCCATTTCATAAAAGTTTTGTTTTTTATTTTTTAATTATGTTATTCATATCACAATCGTAAACTGGAAATTTTTCTTTTTTTTAAATTTCCTCAAGATATTCAGATTAAAAGAAAAGATTTGTGTACCCATAGTTTTGATTTCCGACATATTTAAGGACGATCTTAAATTTTCAGATATCATGAAAGTTGTTAACAAGGTTATTTTTTTTTCTGATTAAAGAAACTATGATGGTATTTTTTATATAGAAACTAAAACCAAATAAAATTTCTGACAGATAAAACATATTATTTAATACATATTAAGCCATAAAAACAAGGGAAATCTGATCATATTAACAATTTAGTTTATTCTAGAAATCAAATCAAATTTAAAAGGAAAACACATCCAAGTGTAAGATACAATTTTATGTACTGCTCATAAAATAATCTGTGAAAAATTAATTTTTTAAGCCAGGTTTATTTGTAAAACGAAATACCATTTTTGTTTATTTTTAAATAAAAATCTAATCTAAAATTTTAATTTCATCAAAAATAATGTGCTGCATATATTAAGGCGCATTAAATTTAGTACATACATATATAATTTTAGTATCAATGATTAGACGAAAATTTGCAGATATAATATTTTTTATAACTTTCATCTTATTATAATTAACATAACATTTAAATTATGGATGAAGACAGTCATCATTTCTCTGAGTTATCCAAAAAAAATTTACAAAAAGCAGGAAGAAGATACGAAAAAAAAAGAAAACCAATTTCTAATACAATATTATGCATTCGTATTTCAAGGAATAAATTATTATTATTACTCGTTCCTCAATCGTCGACGTATATTTAAATAAAATACACTTATCCTTGATCATATACGAGTATACAAAACACCCTAAGTAACCATAACCCTATTTCTTTTCTCTCTCTTTTTTATTTTATTTAAGAAAGTATTTGTAATTTTCTTTTTCCGTTTATCTTTCAAACAGAAAATTCACATATGCATATATATATATAAAAGTATACTGTCATGTATAACTTTGTGTACATACTATATACATACGTAAATGGCACTGTCTATTTTTTTTCGAAACATCTACACATGATAAGAGGAGTAAATGTGCAAATGTAATATTAACTGTCATTCACCTTATGTTCGTGATATGCATATAAAATAAACGTCTTCATTCTATTCCCTGTCGTTAGATTTTCTAATAATTATTTTTCTTTTTCCATCATTTTTCTTATACGTAAAATATCAATATAATATACACATATACAAGCACAAGTTTTTATATATATATTTACAATCCGTGAAAAGTTGTAACACGTCCTAAGTTTTGCTATACGTAATGTGTAAGTATATAACATTTTGGTATATGAATAAATGTTTCATAAGCCATCTATGTAAATGTGGGTGAATTAACCATAAAAGAGAAAGAAGTTATAAAACAAAATGAAATAAGTTAGTAATCAAAATATTAAAATTTGCGTAATTCTTCCGGTTTGTTCGAAATCGAAATTGTTTATATGCACATATGTACAAGTAAAATGGAAAAAATTTAATCAACAATAGACTAAGAAAAATTTTAAAATTGCCTTATCTCCGGATAATCTTACTGCGGATTTAAAATGTTAAAGATTCTTCTTTAAAACAGGGGCTTGAACATTAAATTGATTTTACTGTTGCGTACACACTTCATTCTCATATACTAATGTACAAGTCTAACACAATATCTCCAATAAAAATTCACTCAATGCTAATTCATTGTAGCAACATATTCTAAACATATCGGGAAAATTATTAAGAATACTTTAATAAACTGGGAAAGAAAAACGAAATTAAAAAAGTAAATATAAAAAATAAAAAAGTTCTCTGAAATTCAGAATCTTAAATTGTAAATGTGTCTGTATTAAAAATAACTGTATATATAAATAAGAACAAAGTATACTCATAAGAATTGAAGTAGAACACGTTATTCAGGAGGAATCTTGTTGACAAATTAATATACTTTTCGTAAAGAAAGTGATAAACATGTGAAATAAAAAGAATAGAAAAACAAAAAACATAATATAAAAAATAAAAAAAAATGAAGCACAATAAAATACAATGTGCAAACGTTAATACTTATGTTTGTATATAACAATAAACACATGCGTTTACATAATACAGTCTATGTAACAAAAATTTTCAAAACACAAGAAAAACGTTAAAGTAAAAAATAAAAAGAATGACGAGTTTTCTTTTTATTCCTTCTTTTTCGCTTTTCCAGTATGTTAAAACTTATCATAGTGAAGTGAATTGGATGCTCACTTTAGGATCTTTTGAAGAGTCTTTAAGGAATAATTTGTCATACAAGAGTTTTTTGTGTAAAAGCAGAACAACAAATGAGCAATAAGAAAAGAAAACATACAATAAAAAAATGTCCTTCTAAAATTTTTATTACTTTTTAACCAAAATTAGCCAAATACATATAACACAATTTCATACAAACATACTTATAATAGCTATATAAAGCTTACGAGCACAGTGCGCACATTTATAGAACACAATTATATACACAATTTCATATCGATTCACACAAATACAAACTTTATTTTATATGCATGGAAAAGGAAATTCCTTCTTTCTATTCAATATTTTGATATTCATTGTTGTAATTTTTCTCTTCTATTTTAAGATTTATACATAAAATTGTTTACAAATATTCTAAGGTACACATACATACATTACGTACATATAAACGAATGAATGGGTGAATTATTTTTAACCTTTTAATCCAATTCTTGAATTTGCGGGACCTTAAGTTTCAAATGTGAAAATTTCTTTTTTATTTCAATAATATTTTATCAAAATTTCATTCATTTATCATTCTATGATCTCAAATTCTTTTAAATAATTACGTATACCTTATATAATACGACATATATACATATATATACATGCGAATTCGCGCGTGTGAATCCTATTTTAAAAATATAACTAAAAATATAACATATAAAAATACGTATACTTATGTATAAGTTTATTTGTATATATGTATATGAAAAACTACAATGTAATTGAATAAATGTTCAATATTTGAACCGCAGTATCTCTTTTTTTAGAAAAAAAAAATTATTGTTAAAGATAGACATAACAATGTGCTTACTATCTCGAATGTCTTTATTTTCACAATGTCTAACATTCCTTTTTCATTGTAATACGAAACCACGTTGCTGTAAAAATTCTGCCTAACAAAAGTTTACCCAACTATAATGTTTTTATCTTTATTTTACCCACTGCATTGCGTACAAACAAGTTTAATTTGAATAAAATTTTTAAAGATATCAGTTCCCGGGAAACTTTACTTGAAAAAGTGCCAATTTTAATAATTTGCAAGTATTTTAACAAAATTATTTTACTAAAATCTATAACTGATCATAAGTAATGCAGTAAATAATAGATTTCCACTTAAATTTTATAATTCAGTTTTTTTGCCAAAGAAAAACCTTAGAATCAATAGTAAAATGTTAGACGAATTCGTGCTGCAGGGACTTAAAATTCATCAAACTACTTAATTCCATAAATTAATTCAAAGACAAATAAATTAAAATTTCACACGATCTAAGCAATAAATAGCAATAAAAGTGACAACGTCAACACTCTTATTTTTTTTTTTTGTTTGGACTTTTTTTTTTGTTTGGATTTTTTTTTTAAATTATAGAAAAAATTCGAGTATAATAAAAATTGATTTACTAAATAGTTCATTAACATCAGTCATCAATTATGTGTTCCTCTATTAACGCAAAAACTCTCGCAGTCAAAAATTTAGTAAATTAAGAACAATGATCACACTTTCTTACTAATACTAATAAATTTGTTCAAGATCTTAATGGTTGATTTGAAAAAGTGGATTATGTCACGAAATACGTGAAAAAATGTTCTATTTTTATCATAAAACAACGAAGTATTCAAAATTATTTTGTCTATTATATTTTGAGAAATCAACAAGAGGCAAGTTTTTTTTTTAAATATGTATTATTAAAAAAAATGTACATCCTAAAATTAAATTAAAGAAAAAAACACTTACCTTTTTTAAAGGCATCAAAACATTTCCCGAATTCGATTGACGCATTGCTGCTGCTACAACACCAACATTTAAATTCATTGCAGCTAATTGTGATTGTGTTTGATTTGTAACAGCACTAGCTGGCGGCGGTGGTGGTGGTGGCGATGTATGTTGATTAAAATGTGGGGATTGTTGATGTTGTTGTTGATGCGTATGATGGTAATGACCAGCAACTGCTGATGCTGCTGCTACTGCTGCAGATGTAGGTGTTAAGGGTTGTTGTGCTGCTGCAGCTGCTGCTGCTGCCAAACCCAAATGATTATGTGCTGACGGTGCTGTTATAAATGTTCTTAAAGATAATGGTGTAAACATTGCAGCTGCTGCAGCTGGATGTATTGTTTGTGGATGTGGATGTGCATGTCCATGTCCATGTCCAGTTACACTAGGAGGGGCTGTTGTATGCTGTTGATGTAAAGCAGCAGTTGTATGATGATGCAGAGCAGCAGCTGCTGCAGCCTGACTTGTTGTATGATGCTGAAGTGCAGCAGCAGTTACCGAATGTATTTGGGCATAATTTTGTGCTGCTGTTGGTTGTTGAGCTGCCGCTGTTGCTAATGCTGCAGCTGCAGCAGCTGTTTGATAGTGATGTTGTTGATGATTAAGAGCTGGTGATGCAACGGTAGATGGAACTTGTGTTTGATGTGGTGTCTGCTGAGTAACACCACCTGTTGTTGTAATACTTCCTTGTGTTGGTATTTGGTGACATTGGCCTGGTTGTACAGTTGGTTGTTGAGAGTATGCAGCAACAGCTGATGGATGATTGAATGGTACTAACATTTTTTGTAATGGGACTCCCCATGGCAAATACCAAGAACCAGGGTGCTGCATTTTAATGTTGATTTCTTATCTCTTTTTTTACTTTTAATTCAAAATTTTTAATATATTCTATAGTAAACTTAATAGCATGTGTTTTAAATAAATTAAAATGAAAAAACGATTTAAATATTAAATAGATGTTGACCTTTCATCTGACTTAATTTTATTTAGCTCTGACAAATATCTCTTAAATTTTTTATTAATTTTAAGTTTTTTGCCGTTTTTTAATGCAAATTTAAATTTGATGTAAAATCGCAAAACATATTTAAAGTAAAGTTCGACATAACTAAAGTTTGTAATAAATTAAAATTTAACCAAAAAATTTTTACAAAATCTTGCTTTTTATCACAACATTTAGAAATTATTAAAAAATTTTTTGTTGTTAAAACATTTCCTTGCTACAATTTATTTTTTTTTTTAAATTATAATGACTTTATAAAATGAATTTAAACAGGAATACTGATCACTTTTTCGTGGCACTTTTTATACTTTAAACGTTCGCTTCAAATACACAAATCATTTTTAAATTATTCAATAAATTTTATTATAAAAATTTTTTTTCAATTGAATAAGTAACGACATTTAAGAAATAAAGCCCAAAATTTACAAATACTGAACTTAAATATGTATCTATTTTGGTTTTATTTAATTAAAATAAATTTTCTGATTATGCTAATTACTGAAAATGTAATTTACCGCAAACCTTAAAATCCTTTAATAAATTTATTAGTTAAATCAGCTCTTTCGATTGCGCGCTCTTAAATATTTACAAATTTTTTATGTTTTTGCACATTTTGAATACGAATGATATTTTGTTTGTAGTATTCTTGTTTTTTCTATTTTCTTTTGAAAATAAAATTCATATATGAATCAAATTAAACTTTGAATTCAGTCCAGTTATATGCAACAATTCTTCTATTCAGAAGCAACACCTTTGCGTGTACGTGTTTTTCACCTGGAAATAAAAATTAAAAAAACATATGAAAAACATATAAAATGCAAATGTACATATATAAAAAAATCGAATAATTAATTTATTTTTGTAATTTAAAATTAGCGAAGCATTATAAAAGGATTTTATATTTAAATAAAAATATTTTAAATGTGTTAAGTGTTATGTAGATATTTAAAGTTTGAAGTTATTCTAAAATAAAGCCAATAGTTTATTTTAAACAAAATTTAGTTTTGACATTTAAGTAACGAAGACATGACATTTTAGTTAATTTAAGTAACGAAGTTTTGTTGTAAATGTATTCCAGAAAGAACTTCTCTTTAAATAGAAATCCTACACTTTATTATAGCGCGCTCAATTAATGAGCCATTAATCGTTTAAAAGTATTTTGTATAACTCAACAATTTTCATGTAAAAAAATATTCCATTTCAAAATCAAATGAGTTTATCATGAAATAAAACCAATTTTGTAATTAAATTTCTCTCAGAATTACTGTTTTAAATTAAAATTTTATACTCACACTAAGAAATGTACACAAATACTATATATATACATTTCCTTTTCAATTCATCTAAAAAATGAATAACATTTTATATATTTCAAAGGACCAAAATAAACATTTACATTATTTGAATATGCACACAAAAATCATTAAACTTCATTTTGATGTTTATTCTTTTTAAGACCACAAACAAATATAACTATAAGGTTTTTCCAAGTAATTAAAAAAAATTGTTTTCACTTTTTGTTCTTTTTTTGAAAATTTTATTTATACAAGCACAAATATTATAAAGGAAAAACAAAATTTTCCACCAAATAATCTCTTTATGTTAACATTTCATTTAGACCAAAAATATTATTCATATATGTATGTATGTACATATATCACAATATAAAGGCGTACAAAGTGTATGTACAATTACACCATGAGTCTAAATAAAAAATATATCATAAATCAACCAAAAAATAAACTTCATTAATCGCATTATATTTTGACAATCTAAATTAATTTGTTGATTTCAAATATTTGCCATAAAATTTTTGTCATAGATACAATGAGTTTATAATATGTATATATTTCATTTATTTATGCTATCATACATGAATATATGCATGTATACTTAAACATGCTCCTAATACCTATTTATTTAATTATGATCAAAAAGAGAAGTTGTTTTAAATGAAAATCACTGAAATCACTAGAATCAAAAGCAGGGAAATTTAAAATCTAAATTAGCATGAAAAAAAAAATGTAATTAAGTGCCTAAAAAAGGTAACTTGTTAATCATATAAATATACATACGTATTCATTTACTTCGGCTTTGAAATTAGTAGAGCAATTTAAGAATCTTATTCAAAACAAAATAAATAGTGAATAATTTTTAAATGTTTTTAAATTTTATTTTATAAATTGTACATGTACATATATGTAATATGTATTCATACACATGCAAACGAATATGAGTATATTCACATGTGTTTAATGTACATATAAATATGCAAATGTTATGTATACTCGTACGCGCACTATACTAATAATATGGAAAAAAAGTAATGTACGTATGCCTACGAGTACATAATATTGTGTTATTATTATTCCATTTAAACCAGTTAAAGAAAGAGGGAAAAAATGAAAAGCAAAAATTAAATCTGCTCTCTTACCCTATATTATATACATAACAATTTTCAGCACCTTTACACCCCTTCAGGCCAAAAATAAACAATATTGTATTTATTTTTTTACGAAAGAATATTAAATAAAACAACAATAATAAACTTTTAAACAAATAAAACTGAGAGTAAAATAAGTAACAAAAGAATTCGACATTTTCAAAATTTTTCAATTGTTTTTTTTTATGCTTTTTGTTGATTTTTCTTACAATACAAGTGACAGTAAACGTAAAAGTTATGTATACATACGAATATAATATAAACATGTCTTTATATATAAGTTATTTTTATATTTATATAAATTTGTATATTTTACTTTTTGTCCTGAAAGAGTTCAAATGTTGGATCCTGTATACTCGTATATATAATAAACTTAAAATAGTTATAACCAATATTAAAAGCAAATATAACCAAAAGTAAGAAATCAATATCATCTAGTCTTTGAAAAGTGCTTCTATATTCAAGTTCCCAAAGTCTACTAAAATTAAATCTGAACGTTTAATTCGAAGTCAGACTTACCGAATAGTAAAGTTGTCTAATGAAAAAAGGTACGAAGTTGTATGTAAGTTAAGTAAAGAAGAAATTTTTTACATAATTGTCGTTTTCATAAATATGATTTTCCTACTTTTACTCAGCTCTCTCCATTTTTATATAACATACTTCACACAATATGGAAAATTGTCTAGTTTATGGTTCACAAAACTTTCCTAACAGTATAGAGACTCAAAAGTGGAGCATACAAGTAATTTTTACTTAGTACTTGCATAAATGTTTAGATCACCAATTTGCACCTATAATAAAACTTATTGAAAATAACTTAATGAAAATATTGAAAATAGAATAAAAACTTATTGAAATGCCACAAACTATTCTTTAATATGACCGCAAATCTTTACCAGTGAAACTTATTATTCTGCATATATTCATGATTTTTGTAGGCTTTTACCAACTATTTATTAATTATTTTGATTTTATTATTTTTTTTGTGGCATTATTTAAATATTTGTATATGAATATTCCCTAATAAATAATTAACAATTAAAATGTCAAAATATGAAGTTTTCGAATTTCTGACTACTTCTCCATACAAAAAACATTAAAAATTCAGTTTACAAATCAAATTTTGCTTCTACGAACAGCTATATTCCCTTTCTTATTGAAACTCTATTCAAATACAAACAAACGATGTACTATATTGTTATAAATTTATTATGCGGGTAAAACATAAAGGAAAAGTATAAAAACAATAAAAAAAGTAGAAAAATGAGAAAAAACAAATAAGTAAATACGAACATTGAATTTAAACATGAAGAGAAAAGCCCCTGTCAATTTGAAATTCAATTTTTCTACAATCAGCAAAAATATAAGGAAAACTCTTCTTATTTTTTTCATTCCACAATCAATAAACAACAAACCGTAACATACCAAAAATATGCTGGCTTTTAATATAATTGTAAAATTTTATATACGTGTAGCGCAATCAACTGTCAAAAAGAGAGGAAATATGAACACATTTGTTACCAAATGCTCCCACATCATATAGATATTGGCATCTTTATGAAAGGATCCAGACAAAAATAATAATAAAAAAGAAAACTTACTAATAAAATTGCAAATTATTTTCCAGGGAAAAAAAGGAATAAAATATTTATACTTTTTTTTTGTTTCAATAATTTAACACGCAAGTGTACAGTTAAAATTAAATAAAGACATAATATCTATCTTCGTGAAGGAGTCATCTTATTTCTTGCTCTTGTTACCCACAAACAAGAGGACACACAAAAATTTCATATGTGGATATACAAAAGTGAGAAGAAAACAGCGAGACAATAATTCATATTCAAAATGCTTTTTATAAAAGTTTTACAATATTTTTCAGTATATATGAAGAAAAAGATGGCACACTTGTTGCAACGAGAATATAAAGAGTTAAGAGAAAATTTCATGACAAAATAGACAACACCAAACTCTATAAAATTTTTTGAAAAGTTTATCCAACCTGAACTTAAACTTATGAAATTTAATAAATAAGTACATGGTATGTTCAAGTATATTTGTTAAAAAAGGCTTAGAACATCCAAAATAAATTGTTCCCTTTTTCATATTGTTTTTGTTGGGACAATCTTAATTAGATTTTTTGATTGTACAATAAAAAAACTCAAATAATGAATAAATGAGAATGTCTATATCTAGACATTCTCATTTATTCATTATTTGAGTAATAATCTACAGTCTAGCTCATTCTTAGATTTCATTCTTAGGAAATTTTAAGAAAAAGAATTTTAAATAAAGAAAAATATTAAAGACTAAATTTCTTACAATACGTACTATAATCAGCGAAATTATAAAGCGAATAAAATAATGAAAATAAAAAATGTTTGGTTTTTACTCAACAATTTCGTAGTTTTGCTTTGATATTTTATCATTTCGATATCCAACTTCGCAACCAGCGAATTTTGATTCTCATATTTGAGTACTTGTTCGCTCATCAAAAAATGGTTTATTCTATGTTTGACTGTTAAATTTTTAAAAGAATTTCCTTTTTTTTCCTAGCGAAATATTTTAAAAGTACAGATTTCTTGTAAACTCTCAGTTTTAATAGTTATTTTAAAGCATTTGATGTGGTTTGCTTTTCAAAACCTAAAACCTTTGTTTAAAGCTGGCATTTCTCGAAAATTCATGGTCTTGAAAAAAACAAAATTTTTTAAACTCTACATTAATAAAATATTCATTTCTTCAAAGACAATTTCTCTCTATGTTCGACTCTTTTTAATTTTGTTGCTATCTTAAATGCATGCAATAATTCTGTCATAATTACAAGTATATTACTATTATATTAACAGAAAACACTTGGAAATGTGCTACTTTACTTCGTAATTATGAATTTATTTATTAAAATTTCTACTTTATTACTTTCCAACAAAAATTCAAACTGAAAACCATTAATTAAAAATTGAAGAATTTGTGTTACTTGACCTTTTGTGCTTCATATTTTGAAATTTAAATAATTAGAAAAAAAAACATTTTTAATTATCCCTTATATTTTATACAGTTATTAATTTAGAAGTTTTGTTTCTTCAACAGTCTTGTCTTTACTTTCATTACACACGAAAGAAGAGCCGTTACTACTGATTAATTTTGTATGTAAAGTTACAAAATTCTAAAAGTACCCATATCTAAGCGTTGTCTATCTAAGGGAAAAAAAATTTTATTCAGACTTTAAAAAAAACCCTGTTTGTTTCTCCATCCTACGAAACAAGGACAAATTTTTTGTTTGTTATAACGACCGCATTGCATTTTCTAAGGGAGGTTGTGTGATGGCAACAAATTT